CACAGGGGTGAGGGGGGCGGGCGTGCAGGGGAGGTGTGCACAGGGGTGAGGGGGGCGGACGTGCAGGGGAGGTGTGCACAGGGATGAGGGGTGCAGGTGTGCAGGGGAGGTGTGCACAGGGATGAGGGGTGCAGGGGTGCAGAGGCAATGCATCTGCACATGAGCAGACTTCTGCTATGGCTACTGTGGCTACTACGGGTGCTATTGCCCAGGAGGTGTGGAACCAGGGTGAGTGTGGATGCTGGAGGTGAGGGTACAGGGTGTGGAGAGTGGGGTGTGATGGGGGAGGCAGCAGTGGACCCAGGAGGGCCTGGGGTGCCCCATATGCTCACTCCATCCCTGCCCAGGGCCTACCTGCTGCTGGTTTCCGGTCCCCCTTCTCTGGCCTGGGGTTCAATGGCTCACAGTAGGGTGTGTTGTCCAGCAGCACCTCGCCCTTCCTGGGTGCCAAGCCCTTGACGCTCACCTGCAGCTGGCTGGTGTACTTCTCATGCTGTAGGTAGGCCCAGTAGGGTGAGAGATAGGGTACCAGATGCAAAGGGACCCTAACCATGGCCTCTCATTCATAGGTCATAAGGTTTTAAAACCCCAAAGAGTTGACAGGGCCTGAGACCTGCCCAGGCTATGTGGCTTGAGGTCCAGAGCAAGGCCTGAGTTGGGGTCCACAGTACCACAAAGCTTGCAGGAGGGAGCCAGGGCAGGGCAAGCCAGACAGAAGGGTTCCTATTAGCCCTGCGCTCATTGGCTGCAGAACTCTGTGCTGCCCAGAGTCCATCTGGGAGACTGGACTAAGGACACTCTTGGCTCTAAAGGTAACCACTGTGGACCTCCATGCATCCCTCCTACCTTATCTAGACACCCTCATGGTGGCCTCAAGATGCTGGGGGCGGGGAGGGCCCAGGCCACTATGAGCAGGTCTCACGCCTTCCTCGCCCCCAGCAGTGCACTTTGCACCTGGCCATGCTCCTGCCTCCACCTTCTGCCAGGGCTACCCCAGCAGCCCCTGCTGTGCTCCCGACACCTAGCATGCCCTGACCAGCCACCCTGCCAAACAAACCTGGCCAGTGTCCAAGGCCAGGTCCTCACCATGGCTCAGAAAGTCCACTCAGCTTGCCTCTCCCCCATTGGTGCCCCCTCTGTCAGGGATTGGCCTGGGGGAGCTGACTACCTTCTCTACCTCCAGGCTGGGCCATTGGGCAGGGTAGGCCAGGCCGGCCTGATTCACGGTAACCACAGCCAAGATGGGGCACCCCAAGAGGCCTAGGGGTACCAGGAAAACAGCAGTGGGGGCCCCAAGAGGACAGGGCTATGGGCGCCGGGGCCTGACCCACATGTACCTTGAGTGCCTCCTCAGGGACACGGTGCTGCACGCGCTCGAGCACATACATGTTGGAATGTAGCTGCATATTAAGGAGAACACAGAGAAGCAAAGCCAGAGGACACACACCTGGTACCCAGAGGTCAGTGCTGGCATCTATGCCCCATAGCAGGTATACCCACTCAACCCACTCAAGGGCTGTCGAGGAAGATAGAGGAGAGGCCCTAGGGGTGCACCAATGGGGGAGAGGCCTGTTCTGGGAGGGGGGCAAGGCCACACTCGCCCACACTGGAGAACATACATTGGAGGCCTGCACAACCAATACCAGGCCAGGTCACTGCTCCCCAGGCCCTAGTGGGTGGGTAGGCAGTAGGTGCCTATGGTTGGGGCCTCAGCCTGGGGGCAGGCTGCAGGGGTCAGAGTCCCTTAGGGTACCCCATGAGCAGGCAGAGCCCAGTCTCAGGGTCACCTTTGGGCTCCCTAACCCCCATGGTCCCAGCTGTGACCACCCAGGGGCCCTGCCCTGCTTACAGGATAATAAAGTAGCTGCAGCCTTGGGACTAAGGAAACCCAGAGGTGGTGGCATCCAAGGAAGGATATCATAGCCAAAGCGTACGACGTCATTGAGCTTCAGTGTGACGTACTTTTGGTCTGGGATGCGCATGTCATTCACAAACGTCTGCAGAGGAGACAGTGGCGGGGCTGACCCAGTGAGTGGGGCACCCCATCTTTGGAGTCAACACCAACTGGGCAGCCCCTGCAGTACTGGGACCAGCCCTGGCCCCCAAACTCCTCTGGCACTCAGACATGTATGCCTGGTCCCGAGCCCCCGGGGCAGACAGCCACTGCAGGGCCTTTCTCTGTGCCATAAGTGACTCCAGTGTGGTCCCCCAGGAACAGAGCCCATAAGCATCTTGCTGGAGTAGACCTGTCCAGGAAGTACCTTCTCTCACACAAACAGAACCTCAGGTCAACCCCCACCCCCCACCTTGACCTGGTGCCCAGTGGGAGGGCAGAGGTACTCCTGCCCCACAGTGGCCACACAGGTTCTGACAACGCTGCCCATCCAGGCAGCCTGCTCACAGGGTTATCTGTGTGCCAGTCACCAGACATCACACTGGGCAAAAGAAAGACCCCAACATCCAGGGGCCTCCAGGACAGGCCAGACTGGCAAGAGGGCCCAGGTGGAAGAGGGCAGAACAACATGGAGAAGCCAGTGAGACAGATTTAGAGCAGCCCTCAGGGAGATGGGCTGGGACAGCAGCAGGCTGGGTCTGTGTGCCTGTCAGTAGAGAGGCAGCCTGGGGCTCTGAGCAAGGACACAGACTACAGCCCACACAGCCCACATAGCCTGCACAGGTAGGCAGCCCTGCAGGACCAGGCTGGTGCCACGTAACCAGGGCCAAGACCTTGGGACCCGCTTGAAGCCACACAGGCAAGGAGAGGCTGGTGGTTCTGCTGCTTCTTAAAACAGAGTCCCAGGCAGGCTCATGCCCACCAAACTCAGGGACAGAGACAACTGAACAGGCATCTCTAAGACAGAGAGACCCTCCCCAGCCCACGGGGAGGTTTCCACCCCACACATCTGCTCCCTCTCACCTGATCTTGCCCTGCCCCTGCAGTTAGACCTCTGTCCAGATCATCCCTGCTCCTGCTACCCCCAACCCAAAAAAGGGGGGTCACCTGGCCCCACACCCACAAAGGTACTCCGGCACAGCCCTTCTACCTCAGAGGCCCCATTTCCCAGCCCAATGCCTCCCCGCCCATCTGAGGGGTCCACTCTTCAGCCATGGAGTCCCGAGTCCCTGCCAGTGGGAACCCAGGTAGGGGACCACTGCAGCTGGGGGAGGGGTTCAGGGGTGAGAGGGCAGGGTCAGGGCTGGGCGGGGCTATAGAGGCCCACACTCACCCCATTGAGGCTGCCCAGGTCCTTGACCCAGTGCTCATCTCTGTCCTTGTCGTAGTTGATGACAGCGTGCTGCTTGTCCACACTGCGGGACTAGGGAGACACACAGGTGACTCTCAGGTACCCCATCCCAGGGAGCTGATGCCTGGGAGGCACAGGCCACTTTGTCCATACTCACAATATGAACCTGGGCCTCCTGGGTCCTATTAATACACGGCACCCCGACACCCCCAGAACTCGCCCTAGAAGCCCATCCAGCTGCCAGCACCACTCCCACCCTTTGCTGCTGCCCAGGCCCTTCCCTCTGGGACCACCCTCTGAAGTGCTGCTCTTGGATCAGCCATGGGAGGCCTGGGGACTCTCTGGTCATCTGGAACACGCTGCTTCCTCCCAAGGTCAGATGGCTGCAGCCAGGCTGGAGGCAGAACCCAAAGAGATGGTGGAGAAGCTGCCTGTAGGGGAAGCCTCCCCCGCCCCTGGCCCACCCCATCCCCGGCCCAGCCCACCACCCTCTCAGCAGGCCTGTCCCTGGCATCTGCCCGTCCATGCACACCTCCACAAGTGCACACGCCATGCTTCCATCCTAAGGGCTTCTAGCCCTTTCCTGCTACCAGCCTGCCAGGCTCCACTCCTGGACAGCTGCCCCTCCCACACACAATCAGCTTTGGCTGTCCATGCAGGGCCATAGCTGAGCCGTCCCACTCGCCCATGTGGGCTCCGGGATATAGGAGCAGCCACAGGATCATGTTCTACTTGGGCGGTGCCAGTACAGGTGTCAGCAGAGAGCACGCCTCCTGCACACCACCTGCATGCCACACATCACCTGTATTGCTGGGGGCTGCAGGTGCCCCCCCACCTGAGGAGCTGTACACCTATGGGCCCAGCCAACCCAGGGAAGCAGTCAGGCCCTGGACCAGATGGCAGGGTGTGGCCCACATAGCCACCTGGGGACCATCTGGGTGGTGCTCCAGCAAGACACCAGGTCAGCCTCCATGACCATGGGCCTCAGACCCACAGGACGGTGGCTCAGGACCTGAAGCTCACTCCTAAGTCCCAGGGGGCTTCCAAGAGCCTCAGGCTAGTAACCGCCCCCCTGACACCTGCCACCACTGCCAAGCCCCACCTTCTCTCTGACACTCTGTCTGTCCTGTACCCAGCACCACCCTGAAATAACCAGTTTCAAGGGTAGGTCCCAACACTCTTCCCAAGGACTAGAAGCCCCGAGGGTAGGGCCTCCTGCCTCCTTCAGGGACACTGCGGGGGCAGAGGTGTACATGGCTCTCCCCCTCAGCCCAAGGTCACCCAGTTTGGCAAGGCCTGGCCTTATAGCTAGGTGAAGCTCATGGGGGCCAGTAGGCCCGAGGTGTGGCCACAGCCAGCCTGTAGGTCCTCCCTGCTCCCACAGCCATTGCTTCCTGAGGAACAAGTGCCTAGAACCTTTGAGGTGGCTAGCTTGAGCTACAAGGGTGGATAGTGAGGGCCTAAGGTACAGTGGAGGGAAAGAGGTGGGAGCAAAGGGAGGTGGGCAGGGCCCATGCCTCATCCTTCCAGGACCCCAGGAGATTTGTAGGAGAGAACGGGGTCCTGGGCTGGCCATCCATGAGCCCCCAGCACCCACCAGTCCACACCATTCCTGGGGAAATGCACAGGGGTGCTCAGCCTACTCCAGTGAGGCCCCCAGGACTGGTCCTGGTGCCCACTCACCTACTGGCCAGAGCAACAGGCCTCTGGCAGGGCGGGTCTGACCTAGAGACCTGCCACCACCTCCAGCCCTGCCCCCATCCCTTGTCTAAAACCCTCATCCAAATTCCTTGTCCAGAGTTGGCCCACTCGTCTCTGCCCCAGGGGTAGAGGGACAAGGCCAGAGGGCACTGCCAGATACTACCACCTCCATGAGACTTCCCAACCTGTCCCTGAAGCCTCAGCTGCAAGCCACCCCCAGCACTCACTTCCTTCAAGAAGCTGGCCCTGGTGGCACCAGCCTCTCCTGCTGGGGGGCCTACCACAGCGGGTGGGGAGGGAGAGGGAGGTGCTACTCCAGGATCTGCTACAGGGTGAGGGTTGCCCAGGAACTCTAGGGGCTGCCGTGCCTAAGTGCCCAGACTGGACACTGCAGGACTGCCTGGGGGCTCGAGGCGGCTCACCTCGCCCACACCCGCCTGTGCATAAGACAGCAGCCCCACCTTACCCTGGACCAGCCTCTCAGGGAAAGCAACCCCTGAGGACTGAGGCTCTCCCTGATGGGTACCAGAACTCCTGGGGGGACAAAGTCTAGAAAGGGCAGGGTGGGGATATGGTGCAGGGGCTGCTGACCCTGCTGGCCCAGGAATGGGCAGCTGGATGCACCTTTGGCCAAGAGTGAGCCTCAGAGGAGGTTCCATTAGGACCTTTCCAGCCTGGACACACCCCCACGACTTCCCAAGCCTCAGCACCCTCCCAGGCACACTGCTGGACACCTCTCCACACTTCAAGATTTCCCTGCTCCCACCTTGAGGCTCCCCCAAGAGTACCTGCCAGCCAAGCCCCCCACCAGCCAGGTGCTGACCCCATCGATCCCCCCCTCAGTGCCTTTGATCTATGTCAATCCCCATAGCTTCCCTCCTGTGACCCAGTCTCACCCAGTAGCCCATCATTGTGCCCATCCCTCCCCAGCTACAGCTCTCTGGGCCTCCCTTGGCCTTGTCTCACGGGTTTTCCCCATCCTGCCCAGGCCACAGTTGGCGTTGCAGACTCTAGATACACTACGCCCTGGCCTGGACCTCAGCCCCAGAGTGCCACCTCCCCACACCCACCTTCCCTATCCTGCAGACCCCATTTACACCTATAGCCTGGGCCTCCCCCAATCCCAGCCTAGTCTGTGTCACCAGGCACACCAGATGGCAGGGGGCACCCAGGACTAACAGGGAGGGGCTGGGAAGGGGCTAGGAAGAAGCCTCCTTCCAGAGCTCCCTTCCCAGCCCCAATACCCCAAGGCAGAAGCAGACTCTCATCCAGCCAAGCCCCCGTGCTCAGGGGCTAGAAGCCAGCCCATCCATGACAGGTGGTCCCTAGCCCAGGGCTCAGGACTTAAAACAACACAGCCCAAGGCCTGCAGAGAGGAGCCCTCAGGCAGGAAGAGTGGTCAGAGATGCTCCCAGCCCACAGGAGTGGGAACTGTGTCCTTCTGATTTCAAGATTTCTCTTTTTCAAATAACAAAAGAGGCAAAAAAAAAAGTGTCATCCTTCTCTGTTGCACCCCTGTAATAAAAGGGTCTGTTCTGGAAAATTTGTGATCCATTCAGTGAAAGGGCTCCACTTGAAAACCTAGAAGGCCACAGGTTCCCCATCCCTGCATGGACTGGGGGGAAATGGTATAAAAGTTTGTACTCATTTTAAAATGGAATAAAGATGTTTCTATAGTTTATGCCTGACACCCTCCACGGATGACAGCCCTGCCCCACTGTGCTGATCCTGGCAGTGGCCACAGCCCAGAGCACCAGGCACTCCCTAATGCCAGCTCACCCCACCTCCCCCAGTGCAGCCACAGGCATGGGGCAGACTGGTGGGGTGCATCGCATGTCCAGGGCTTTGGCCCTCAGGCTGTGGTTTCTGGTCAGGATGGGAGTAGGAACCCAGCTGTCACACACCCAGGGACAACTGAAGGGCAAATCTGTGGGGACAGAGAGGATCCTACCCCACAAAAATCCAATATGCATACATACATGTACATGTATGTGTACAGACACATGGCAATGACATATGGACACTGTGCATACGTGCACTCAT